CCGGTGACAAGACGGACGTCAGCGTTAAAACGGTGATACGGCTGGTAATACGACCGGTAACTTGCCTGCCAAGTGTGACAATTAAGGCAAATTCTCACAGTGAGCGAGGAACATGTCCTGCAGTGGACATTTACAGGCTGACAAAAAGAGGTTATCTTAAGTTGTACAGCAAGAATCAACCGTCTCTCTCTACCTGAAAAAACAACGCTTTCAAAGTATTATTTTGAATAACGGCATAGTACACCTATGGACTACTATGAAGTGTCACCCTTGAGGACTAAGGTAGAATGCTCGTTACAAATAAAAAGGACCTCCGGTTCTACACTTGCCATACGAAGCAGAGCAGCATAAAGCTGATATTTAATTCGCTGGTATTCTGTGTGAATGGTCCTACCCCGATCGAGCCGACCAATTCGTTCTGCAGCCAAAATTCAGTTGCAAAGTGGCTCTATCTCAAAAAAAACTTAATTTCTCAATGCTCTACACGTAAAATTAATTATTTCTTGTGTTTACAAACACTAAAAACGTCCAAAATTAAAAGCCTAAGGTGTTGTTGTAATTTTTTAAGCGAGTAAAGAAATAAAAACAGTAATATACACAAATAAACACCTGATATCACGCAAGTAGTTTTATTGAGAGCTCCGTCACCGTCATAAATGCATCTAAAGTGCCTCTACATCAAGCATCGCTTTAAGAACTAGACAAACTAGCGAAAGTTTGTATATAAAACCACTTTAAATGCGTTTTTATCTGAGAGACATATGATATGTTTGTTTAAACCTCCTTCTTAGTGGCATAAACTCACTATTTAACTACCGGGCGGAGTTCCTGAAGTAAGCTGCCATTAAGTTAATAAATTTTGTATCCGAGTGTATCAACAACTTTAAGGAATAAATATGAACTCTTTTTATTCCTTAAAGTTGTTGATACACTCGGATTTTGCTTTGACGTAGAATACAAATAATTGCATATATAAAGGAGAGCTATATATATATATATGTAATAATCCCTCATCTGTTATGAAGAATAGTTAGAACGAAATGCTATATGATATCCCTCCATCCATAATAGCGAAAAGTCCACTGCTGAACATTGGCCTCTCCCATAGACATGTATAGCAACTATCGCAAAATCCGCCCATGGGGCTTTATGAAATACATAATATTTTAAACTTTTCTATATTTAAATTTGATTTTTTTTTTTTTTTTTTTTTTTATAGGAGAGGGGGCAAACGAGCATGCGGCTCACCTGATGGTAAGTGACTACCGCCGCCCATGAACAACCGCAACACCAGGGGAATTGCAGATGCGTTGCCGGCCTTTTAAAAAGGAGTAGGCTCTTTTCTTGAAGGTCCCTAAGTCGTATCGTCGTATAACAAATTTCTTCAATATTAATAATCACTGGTTCGTTTGTTTTTTTTTCGGTTAGATTTTCCGCCTACGAACGGTTTCCTGAGCATCGTATTTAAATATTTGAAAAATTCGCCTTTAGTTACTAATTTTTATAAAAAAATTATTTTATAATTTGTATAATATGCTAATTTTATTTAAATGAGACAAATTTTATGATTTGTTATTCAATATATATTACAAGTAATTATTCTTAAAAGTAATTTGTAATTTGTTACTACTTGTTACAAAAAAACCTATACCCTGGAAAGAACCAGAAAGAAACCCAGCGGGATCTTTTTCAGGGTAAAATTATTCAATGTAAATAGAGGTTGTACAGTTACTTACAAAATTTATTTAAAAACAACTTGGAAGTGATCACCTCATTCACATGGGTCATTATCAACATGTTTTAATTTATATTACGAGTATAATAACCTCTTTAATTGCCAATGTGTAATAAAAAAATAATCCTGAAATAGAATACCTTGCATATTTCCTATAAATCTTATGGATATAGTGATTGTAATAAAAAAGGAACATGCGTGAGTTCGATTCGCACGAAGTTCGTAGTACATTATTATTGATAAACGTATTATATTATTGATTGACAAATACAAATAAATGAATTACTAGTGTCTATTAAAATGAAGCGTCATTTAAAATAATATGTGTTTCATGGCAAGATAAGAAAAAGTGGGAGGGAGATCGATATTATTCCATCTCGCTCAAACTATAGAAAGGGGGTCGTGACGGAAAAATCTTACACTTTTTCTCGCCTAGCCCCCATCAGTCAAATTCGTACCGTGCTATAAGGAACTTCGTTCCAACAATAAAATTAAATCCAATCCAAGCAAACTACTTTCGTCAGGTGATATAAACTAATTTTGCGTAGATCGGATTAAAAATTAATAATAATAATAGTAATTTCCTCCAGACCGAATTTCGGTCATGACGGCCAGCCTCAACGGAGACTAGCCATCGGCGCAGGACAAGATTATAGTGCCCAAGTGTATGCGCAAGCACATGTGCATTCTCTATTCCATCACTCTCATAGTCCGATGGGATGATAAACCGACACGACCGGAGAGAAATCAGGCGCAGGACCAACGGTTTTCCTGCTTTCCGAAGCACGAGAGTGAGACACCGCCAAAGTCCTGACTCCGGGCAGCTAAATAGATTTTTTTGACGGAAAAACTCAACAACTGATTTTTATTTTGGCCCGACCCGCGATTCGAACCGGGTAATCAGCAGTCACACTACTACAACCACTAGAACAATGAGGTAGACAACAAAAAGTCCTTAATAACTTTGTCATGGGGACGTTGAACATCAACATAGGTGTTGCAAAGAACTCATCCGATTTAGTCTTAGAATATGTTAATACCTGAAAGGAAAACTTTGTACCCCTTTCTAAGGATATTGTACACACCGAAGAGTGTAAAATTTAGCACAGTTAATGTTCATATGAAGCTAAAATTTTAGTGGAATGTGTGTTCCAAATACATTACATTAAATCATTAGAACCTAAATTGTTTACGTTCATACTGACAATGACGAACACATGATTGTCGCTATAAAAATTATGTAGTTTGCTGATGTTATGCTAGATTTATCTCAGAGTAAGTAAGTACAAGCATACCAGTATAATATGTATTTAATTCTCAGAACAGTAAGATGTTATTACTCTAAAACTAACGTCTGTATAAATAAAATGCAAGTTTAAATTTGATTTTGGAATTTAATTTAATTTTTTTTTCTGAAGGGCAGTTGCCAATACAAAAATTGGTAAACTTAAATTCAAGTGTTGCTAGTAAAATACACAGATAATAATTAATACATACAGACTACAAATAAATATTAATGTTTGATAAGTTATTAAACAACTTAATAGTCTGTGGTTAAGCAGCCACACGGAGTAGATTGTCGCCATAGTACGAGTATTTTAAAATGTTGCCAACTAATGGTTATTGACAGATTGACTGGAAAAGCTGTGATTTTATTATGATTTCAAATGTCCGTTTTTCAATAGTGTCTGGAGTGCTTCAAGGCAAAAAAAGCGTTTATTTTATATTTCGTATTTGAAATATCTGCTTTTTATATATTAATATGCCGTTGAAAGTAGAATATATTTTTAATATACATTTATACGTGGTAGAGCCATGTTGCAGCTATATTATGGTTGGGGCGCGAATGGGTCGGCTCGACCGGGGTATGACCACGTTCTCACAGAATACCAGCGTAAAATAGCAGCTTAATGCTGCTGTGTTGCGTATGGTGAGTGCAGAGAACCGGAAAGCATTCTTTTCTGGAAACGAAGCATTCCATCTTAGCCTTCAGAGGTAACAACGCATCTGCATTTTGATTCTTAATCGAGGATAAATGAAGAGGACCACATCATCCACTTACCATATAGTCCATGTAATCCATGGACTGTGTACTTATTTGTCACCATTATAAAACTAAACATTCAATGAACTACGGTCGAATTTTAACCACTAGTTGACCACTAATATTAAGTTATATTTAAACCCTCTAAAATGGTAATTTCAGTTTCGATAAATACGTAATACAGACTGTCAAATATTTGTTATAATGGTTTAAAATTAAATTGCTTGTATTGCATATCAAAGTTGGTTCGTAATCCCTTGTTCTTAAATGAGACTGAATATTAAAATAGGTTAAGCATATCCCTCGTCAAGTTTATGACAACTGACGGAATTCTGTTACAACATAAAATGCACTGATCTAATATCTATATGATTGTACGTATTTACAGCTAAACTAATAAAATTGTATTCACATTTCTACACACAAATTAAGCCAGTTTGAGGTGCAGTTACGATCATTGGTCCGTTGCAAACAAAATCAAAATTATAATTTTAAATTAAAAAAGAGACAGTGAACTCAAAAAACATGAGCATGCTGCCTCTGATTTACCTGAGCTTCCCCAATCCATAGTTTTAATGACTTGAATCTTTTGCAAACTTAGGAGCTAAGTATTGCTTCATTTATTATGTACTTTATAGAATCCATCTATAATATTATAATTTTTATAAACTGTTTTTCTATTTGTTGTAGAATAAAGAGCAAACGAGCACACTGTTCACTTGATGGTGGCGCATAGACACCTACTACTAAACTACTAAACTCCATTAAGAATCAAAATGTAGAGTTGTTTCATCCCTGATGACGTAGATGGAATACGTCTGTAAAATCGTTCTCTTGTTCAAGTCTCTTATTATACGAAACTAACCAGCACTATTCTTATTATTATTGGCTATTCCTTCTCCAAACGCGCCAACGCGATGAAAAAAACGTTACCCCCACACTAGGATTTTCTACTGTATCGTGGAGGCAGTTTACAAACATAAATCACATAAGGACAAACATTCAGACCCGGAACAATCATTTGTAGGCCATACAAATATTTATTCCGTGCGAGATTGAAACCCACGGCCCCCTACGCAACAACTTATTGCTAAGCTACTGCGCCACGGAGCCGTCACTAATACGCTGTAGCTTGTCTCTTCCACGGAAAAACTTATTCACAAATAACAAAATTAATTAAAAATATTAATTTGTTATAGCAAAAAGAGAATCCAATCGAGAATGTCTTCTTCAAGGCCGTCCACTGGGAAGAGCAGTATCGGCTTCACCGGCGTTCTTGTACTCCTGCTGGTTGTATGCCTCATCGAGTGTGCTACAGGTAAATATGATAAGTACATGATACATGATATTCAAGGACCCTGTTCCACGAATGTTGCCTCTGGTGGCTTGGTCGTGTAAAATGGATGAGAGAGGATTGGAGTTGAAATAGAGCTAGCCAGACGTCCCAGTGTTTTGTTACTGGATGTCCAATTGGTCGATTTAAATGTATCTGGAGCCGCCGGTGGGAGCTGATCTACGCTTCCTTCAAACTGGCGACAACTGTCGAGAAAGCCGCAAGTTGGGTGTTCTCGTATCAAAGGCCAAGATCCACTTAGGATCACTGCACCACAAGAGTAAGTGGGCCACAAGCCACCGGATTAACATCATTTTTCATAAACGAAATTTTATTTACATTATTTAAAATAGGTAACTTTTAATCAATTTACTGATGCTTTTGTTATTATAATTTGATGGTATACCTATTAATTTTTATCATATTTTTAGTAGAATAGAATCGAATAATATTTATTTAATATTTTACACTACACACAAAGATTAGCATTTTGCAGTTTTTTTTTTAAAGAGAAAGTATAATTTGATCATCATTTAATAAATTGATAATGGAAATAAATTATTTTTAATAAAATATGTAGTTGTTTTTTTTTTACTATTTTAAGCAACATTTGTAAGACGTCATATAACACGGAATTAGCTAGTCCTAACTAACTATATTAAACTTATTAAGTATAGATATATTTTTTATTTCTTTTTGTCGTCACTAAAGACTGAAGTGATGTAAGAAATAATAAGGCTCAACCTTCCTGCATTAGAGCTAGTTGTAGAAAAAGACAGTTCCGTTGCCTTTGTAGTGGACGGGATCTTTTTAAGGGGAACTATTTGATACGTGAAGTTACTAGTATGCTATTTTTAGAACAACATCCTAAAAATCGCACTTCATTAAATATCATTCATAATAATATATAATCATTTCAAAAAGTAAAATCCCTTTGAATACCTGAAACAGACAAAAATTACATCATAACATAACATAGCAATCCCAAGGATCAACACCTGACCTAGTAATGCGATAATCATTAATTCATAATTCAATACAGCCTATCAAAATTCCGCGTCTTAATATTGGCCTCCCCCATAGATAACCCTATTTCGGAATATTTGCCATAGTTGACACACTTGACACGCGTGTTAGCAAGCAGTTTTTTTTTTTATTTCCTGGTTGTTAAAAATAGGTCTTTACCTATGAAATTGCAAATATTTTTTGGCTAAAAATTCTATTTCAGATTACATTTTTTTTATTGATTAGTGTTATGTTTTCATCGCATTTGAATATCTTTCGTCATCATGGATACGTTAAAAATTCGAGTAATTATGGAATATGTGTACCGTCGTGGCAGCAACGTGGCACAAACGACACGCAACATCAACGACGTTTACGGAGCGAATATTACAAAAGAACACACCATCTGTTATTGGTATCGAAATTTTAACCTGAAAAATTAACAACGTGGTCGTCGAAAAACTTTGCTTGACAATGATAAATTAAAGGTGATTGTGGAAGTTGATGATATTCAATCTACTAGCAGCAGCTTTCGACGTTAGCATCAAAAAACATTGGTCCATTTGGGTCAAATTAGCACGGTAAAAAAGCTTGTCAAATGGCTGCTCCAGGAACTCAACGATCACCAGTGCGAAGTACGCGTCGAGACGTGCCTTGCAATACTCAACAGGCACACAAACAAAAGAATTTTGAACTGCATTGTTACGTGCGACAAACAATGGACTCTGTTTGACAAGCAAAGTTGGTTGGATCCTGGTTCAGCACCTAAACAATGCTCTAAACGAATATTTACACCTAGAAAAGTGATAGTCACTGTTTGGTGGTCTAGCGCCAGTTTGATTCATCACAGCTTCTTACCAAACGGGATGAGCATTACTGTAGATGTGTACTGTGAAGATCTGAACACAATGATGGAGCAGCTCGCACGTCTCCAACTAGCTTTTGTCAATCACTCGTCCCCGCTACTCCTGCACGATAATGTGTGACCTCTTACTACACAACAGATGGTCTCCAAGTTACAAGAGCTAGAAGCTTTCCGTCATCCGCCATACTCACCAGACCTTGCGCCTACAGACTTCTACTTTTTCTAGAATTTGGATAACTTTTTGGCTGTAAAAAAATTAATATCCGAGAGGCAGTACAAAATAGCTTTGAAGAATTTTTTGCCTCCCGTCCAGCTAATTTCTTCAAAAAGGGCATCATTATACTGCCACTACGTTGACAAAGATACATCAATTGCACGGGTGCTTACTTTGATTAATAGAAATGAAATATATGTATAGTTTTATACTTTCTATTTGTGTTATACTTATGTTAATCTGTTTACATATTATAATAAGGATGAGCACTGTGATTTGAAATACAGATATATGTTTATCTAATTCAGACTGATATATTCATTTATTGTGTACTAAGTATACAGATCATAGAATAGGTATTTATATATGTGATAATTATGCAAATGAATAAAGAAGTATTATTATTATTTTGGACCAGACCGAGCGAATACCTTACAACTCTCCTACTTCTATAAATATCGTTTAGGGTCTCTATATTAAAACGTATTATGACGTCTTAGAAATCTTATATATTAACCGAAAATATCGAAACCACCTCAACAGTCACGCACCAAAATATTCGTAACATAATTTTCAAGCAAACAATAACTTTGTTACTTTTGACGGCCTCTATTTGATTTGGTGCCCCCTAACACATGTCGGCAACTTCTTAACTGAACTTAGACATTTCATACTAATCGGCCTGATTCGATAATGTTAGTATACTTACTGACTTTTTCTACGGCCTAATTTTTCAGATTTTTTTTATCGTTACTGACTTAACATCGATAATTTCTTTCACCTACTTAAACTGTAATAATTTATAGAGTAATTTCAGTAATTTTGTGAGACAAAGCTACTAAAGAGACAGTTACTAAAGACAGTGCAAACATATTATTTACATTTCTTACCTTATAGTGCCTCCGTTCACTTTCCCTTCCATTCACCAGTCCTTAAAATTTCACAGGGCTCTCCCCATTATAAGGTTCTTTCATGCGTTATAATTGATTGTGCCATAATTGACATTTACATTTGTTATTTTTAAAGAATTTCTATTCAAATGAAGTTGAATGGCTTAAATAATTGTATATAACATAATGCTTATGCTGTTTAAGAAATACAAGATACTGTTTATAGGATATTATTTAAATACTAAACCAGAAATTATCTTAAATGTTATTTATCAAGAAAATTTATTCAAATGATGTTGAATAACTTGAATAATTTTAAACTAACATAACTCTTACATTACTCAAAATATGCTATCAAGAAATTCAAGATATTGTTGATAGGAAATTATTTAAAATGAAACAAGAAATTATCGTATTTGTTACTTATTACGAAATTTTGTTCAAATTGTGATGAATAATTTTATTTGTCATAACTCTTACAATATTTAAGAAATACAAAGTACTATTATTAGAATATTATTTAAAACTAAACAACAAATTATCTTAACAATACAGCCTTTACAGAATTCAAGCATTAATGATAATTTAAAATCAACAACCAGCCAAAAATAATGCGGCACCGCGATCAATGGCAATTAAAATTATTATAAAGATTTATTTCGAATTCCAGTAAAACAATACGTTTCACTTTTAATACCACTTCAAATTATTTAGTGTATAAGCCAAGTACAAATACTTGGCTTATATTCAAAACAAGTGTTTGCTTATAAATTGTATTTCAATTGTTATTTGATCTATCTATTTTGGGAGATAAATAATTGGTAAATAATAAATAATTAGGTACTTGATTCCATTAACGTTTATAGGCGATATCAAAATATCCACTAGCCCATATCGTCCCGTAGGTATAACAAACCAAAAAATGGGCAGCAGCGTCTACCGTGGCAACTATATCAAATATCACCCCTAAAAGGCATCCATGGGGGGAGGCATATGTTTAGCAGTGCACGTTTGGTAGGCTGAAATGCTTTACCGCTATGGAAGTGACATTTATTGAATGATATATAGTACGAAACATGTTTATACAAGGTCTGCTGCAGCTATTTTATGGCTGAAGCAGGAATGGGTCGGGTATACCGGGAAAGTACCACGCTCTCACAGAATATCAGCGTAAAATACACACTTAATATTGCTATGTTTCGTATGGTAGATATACATAGAGAACCGGAGACCTTTTATACTGGAAACGAAGCATACCATTTTATTCGTTACCTGAGGAGTGACAATGTATCAGTATTTTCTATTCTTTATCCATGATAGATATTAGATGTCTATGGCCTAAAGTATTCACTTACCATCAGGTGTATAGTGTACTTGTTTATCACTCTTATTCCATAAAAAAATTCTTGGCAACTTTGCAAATTCTTAAACGCAACTAATTGATACAACGTAGTATTAAATGTTTACGAGTTACAAATTAAATCTGTCGGCCAATAAGCCGTGTCGTAAATTAAGCTAATGTTTACTTAGGATATTAAACTCGGATTTTAACGTCCCACATAAAAATATGAAGGATACAAAAAGATCTGACGTTTCGAGGAAATATCGCACACGTCATCTAAGATGGTTTTTAGGTCTGAAAGAAAGACTGTTCCACAATATTATGATTGTTTTTTTTTTCGAAAATACATATCTCATTGATTTATTCATTCATTACAGTATTTATACAAAGTACACTCATGATCATAGGCTTCCTAATAGATTCCTTCACAAGAGGGGATATTTATTATAATTGCCACTGCTCTCAATCTTCTGGTTTGTTTCCCTCTATCACCTCTTACGACTCCTTTGGGACTATATGAGGTAGTGGTTATTCTTACGTCGCCACGGAGACAATATATGGGGAATATTTATGTTCAGCAGTAAACTTATATAGTCTGTAATGGATGGAAGGAATATTAATTATATACATGGGTTAATTCAATCGTGCAAAGCATTTGCTGGAATTTCA